TTGGAACAGACTGAGCATTAAAATCTACATCTAAAGAGTATGCCTATAAGTATTCAAGTAGGATATCTCGTATGAAAAGGATTACCCGAATAGGCAAGCCGAACGCCCGATTCTTGATCTAGACTCATAACATCGCGGACTTTTGGCTGTCAAGTTCTATAGGAGGGGTTCGCAGGGCTACATGGAGATCTGCTGGCTAGTGGCTACTAGGCACCGATCGAATGGCAAGCAGAAGCGCTGAGCTCCGATTGGAGCTCGTCCTATGGGGAATAACTATGAAAGCAAAGCATATGTTCCCCTCGCGAGATTAAATACCGAACTATCTGCTAGTAGGATATGCTAATCTATAATTCTATATGAACCTAAACCCGCGGCTAACTAGGCAGTGCTTCGTCATATCCTTCTCCAAATGCTAGATTATCTACTTTAATTCTTCGGGTGCCGTATATGTGGATGCCAACAAGATCCCTAAGTTTACGAATAAAGCTCAATATCTCCCTAAACTCCTGGTTGCGGTATGTTAAGAATCTACCTGGTACGCATCTATCGGATGAAGGGTGCGCGCTTGAGGTTAAGAGTCAATTTGCGTGGAAATATCTCCAAGTACCGAAGTACGTAATGAGCAAGTCCATGCATAGGGGTAGACTAAACAGAAATTGGTCGATGATGGAGATTTTGCGCTCAATAATGATTCTTTTATCGAATAGTCTCGGCTCGGGGAGCTAAGTATACTGCTATGAGACTATGAAGGCTTATATAAGCCTACGTCCGATCAGGGGTAATACGCAGAAACTGACATCTCGAGATTCTAAAATTGGAATGTCATGTAGTTGGATTCAATCGTCCGAAATGCAAAACTCCTTTGTGCCTCTGACAATGTACCCAAGCCAGCCGCGTCTCCAAAAATAGGGACAAAAGTTCGTACATATCTTATGTATGAACGATACTGGGCAGAACGGTAGCTATGACCAAGAGCTACCTGTCTAGATTCTCGAATGACGCCGTGTCAAAACTCATCTCGCTGGGGTAAGTGGACTACGGCTGTTAGTCAATAGATTATTTGCAAGGTAGGCTATCAACTCACACTCACTCGTCACGACACGTCAATTGGCCGAAGGTCATTGGATATGCCAGCGGATAGTTTGGTCACTGGTACATGACTTCAGGTAGATTTCCCTTCCATGTATGCCAGAACAGAAGCTGCAAGGATCTGTAGTTGCCGACCCTGAGACGAATGTGAGCTAGTCTCTTTCTGTACGACGATCGAGTCAGCGCCTATCTCACGGCCGGACTGTGAGAGGCTGCAAGTTTGAATCCTCCGTTTTGCACAGTTCTCACAGGGGTCTCCTTGTTTAGTTGAAACACATTTCAGGTGGGCGTGTCGACATCTCTCGCAGCTCGTAATAGCCTTTGTCCTTCCTCTCTTCCGCTTCGTTGGTTCTGGCTTGGAGGTATCTTCTGTAGTTGTCACAAGACCGGCATCGTGTAAGGATTTGTCTTTGGGGCGATGTGGATCAGGAAGGGGGACACGCTTGTCTTTGGCCATTTCAACGGTATGCAAGACGATGACTTAGGGGGACTGGATAACGTGGATTTTTAAGGCAATTGGTCATCGAGATAACTTGCTGATAGGATATTCGGGCTAGAAGACATTTCCCTGAGTCAGTCTCAAGCAGTTGAGCAGAACCAATGATGAAATTTATAGCTGACTTATGATATCCTAATTTGATTATATCTCTGAAGCCTCAAAGGAGTGTTGAATATTCCACATCCAAGTACATGCTTTTAACTGAAAAGTGAACTTCACCCTTTGTCAACATATGCGATCAGAATATGAAGATAAATAAGAAAGCATAATGAAGTCCTTGAAAGGATGAGGAGCATCATAATATCCTACTATACCTCTTTCATTTTTACACTATGATTTCTGAGAAGTCCTTAACATAGTATAAGCAATATAACTGTTACTGCTGTACATAATTCCTCATTTGACATTCTAAGGCTCATACATACAAGTCCTTATTCTTTAATGACCCAGTTAACACACTCCTCTTAACTTTTGAATATCTTGTGCCAGACTCAAAGTGATGTAGGGCTATTTCCAGCCCTTCTGCCATGAAGTTTGCCCAACCAGGACGTTGACATGGTCCGCCGAATTTGCTTGCCCCATAGCATGAACACGATAAGCATCAAGTTGTTCGCCAGGAAGACTCCGCCAAATGCTCCGGCGATAATTGTCGCGTAGCCCTTCTCCATGACCCAGTCCAAGACCCCGTAGCCCAGCCCGAAACTCACTGCCTGCTTGCCGATGTTAATGGCAATCAACATCTCGGATGTGTTGCTGTTGTACGAGTCGACTGCGTACGCCAGCGTGAAGCAGTAGTAAAAATAACCGCCCCAAGATGCCAAGCCGCCCCCGAAGAAATAGCCTATCCAGTGCAAGTTGAGTTCCGCGGTAAGGCCATAGACCACCAGTCCGACTGGAGCGATGATCATAGCAGGGAGCATAACGCCTAAGCGCATTTCCGCTTCTCTTATTCCATTGTTTTTTCGTGTGAGGTAGCCGGCGAGTCGATCTGACGAAGACGTGAAGGGAAGCGCTAGAATGAATCCAAGGATGGACCCGAGAGACTGGACACCAGAGCTGGACTACAGAGAATTGTCAGTCGAGACGTTCTTTAGGGGGTCTAGTACAGGATATGACTTACCGCCGGCCAATTATACGGAGGCGCTGTGATTTTGATCGGGAATGTATAGTTAAATGCTAGGCCGCCTAGACCGATGATAATCCCAAAAGAGGTAATGACCCATAAGACCTGAGGGACGAGGATATAGGTGAAGGATCGCCACATCAGCGTGAAGAACTGAACTTCGTGATCGACGCGGCCCCAAGGACGAAGCGTCTCTAGAAATGTTTTACGGGCTGGTGTTCCCATGGCCTCTTCGACAGTAGTGTCGTCGGGCTTATCAGATGATGCGACGATTCCGCTGGAGCTTTCGAGGGAGGTATTGTGGTTCATATGCGCCGCTCGGTCGTAAGACGATTCTTCCACGAACAGGAATGCGAGGATGAATAGCGCAGATGCGAAGGCGAGGATGACGTAAAAGAAGAGCCTCCAAGAGTATTGGGTTGGCAGCATATACGCAGCCGGAATAGTTGCCATCGCCGCAAAGCACATGCCGACTAGTGGAAGGGGTATCAGTAAGACTCTGGCGAAGTATAGGGAATTCTACGCACAGGTATAGTATCCTATATGCTTTCCGCGCTCGTGAAGGAAAAAGATATCATTCACAAGCTGTACCGGCAAGGCTTCGCATATCCCCGCCCCAAAACAGTGAACGATTCTCGCCGCCATTAACCCTCGAAAATTGTTGGTTTGCGAGCAGCCAGCTAGACCAGCAATGAACTAGGAGGTTGACGTTAGCTAGAGGCCGGAACTGGGGGCATCGGCTAGACAAACAGCTAATAGAGAACCAAGCATCACAGGTCGTCGCCCAATCTTCAAATAAAGGGGCACCAGAAAGAAAGAACCGAATCCGTATGCAAGATTGGGATACGATATCAGCGTTGACGCTTCTGCTTGCGAGATGCCAAACACTTCTGACCAGAGCGTCAAATAGGGGCCTGTGCCCAGGAGGGCTGCGTTTCCGAGGAAGGAGTATGCGCAAATTATCACGAGGATCATGATTTTCTTCGGCTGGGACCACTGTGATGGCTTAGTCTCTTGGGCAGAGCGTCAACAAATAGCGAGCACCTACTTGTAAGGGGTCGTTGGGATCCTCCGCTGGTACAGGGAAAAGCGCTTGACCGTCGTAGGAGTCGTCTCCCTCTGTTTGAATAATTATGATTAGACCTAACCTCGTCGACGGTCATGTTTCAACACTAACCAATCGCCTGGACATTGACGGTGCCTGGGATATCTTCTTCGTGGGCGTGACTGCGCACGAGATGCATCTTGCGTTTCTGAGGCCCGTTCGCCATTGTGTGCGTCATGCTGGTATATCGCTAGAAGGTATTGTACCAAGTAGCAAGTAGTAGGAGACTACCATTTTAGATGCTAAGATATGGACATTACTCGATATTTCATACATCTCGACGGCGGCCCTTGTTGCTGACAAAGGCATGCCATGGCTCTGGCTGCCATCCGGCAAATACGAAGATCACCGCAATGAAACATCTTGGATGATGTCTCCAACTTGGATACTTGAATTAAGGTGGTTCTGCCGAGACGCATCGTTCTATTCTACTCGTGGAGGGTTGATTGCTAGTGGTTAAGTGATATCGCCCACGACGAGTGCCGTGTTGCATCAACCCCGCGATTCATCCGCCGCGTCTACGGTACTTGATGATGGTCGTAGTTGATAACTAGGGTATGCATGGATCGTAGCCCAGATCTTCGTGCGGAGATGCTGTCGACCCTGGTACCATATTATCACAAATGATTCCGTACGGCAGACATGGCATACCCCTGTATTGTGACGGTGGCTGTTTGCTATGCATCCAACTCCATATGAGGAAGGCCGTCGTAAAGTAGAAGATAAATATCTAGAGACTAGATACGGTAGGTACCTAATTGAATTGAGGACTCCTGTAAGTTTTCATCCATGATTGATTGATTAAGGGGTGGCTGCTGGCTGTCTGGGTGGCTAGCTATAGGGTTGCCGGTATCCATGAAATGAACTGATTAACTGGATAGACAGTGGAGTAGTGAAGGTCTGACCGTCTGGTATCCGACGCACAGGGGGGATGCTACCTAAACATGGAAATAAACATAGAAACTGGATTAAACTTGCGACGTAGACCAGTTCTTCCATCGAACTTTTAATAAGATTGAAAGGATTGAAAGTACGATTCGGTTCCTTGATTGCAGGTTTTAGGAAGACGGGAGATCGGCTAAAGATCGGCTGAACGGACATCCGATCTTCGCTCAAGCTGGACTAGCCTTTGATATAAGAGAGCATAAGACCGGAAATCCATCAAGCAGTCAAGATGGCATAAAGGTGGTATAGTATAGTGGATAGTACAACACGTTGTGGTCGCATACTGATACCGTGTAGACCTGGGTTCGATTCCCAGTACCGCCACGATTAGTTTATTTTTCTTCTCCTTTTTCGTATATGAACGCATGCAGACCATTTCCCACCAACTGAAAATAAAAATTTGAAGACGGAGTATTACGCTGTCCTGATTTTTCCCAACATTGCGCTATGCAATTTGCGCTGCAAGGATTACGTCATCTTATTTCTACTGGCATATTTATTTAATACATAAAACGAAAAACTTTACACGGACTCTTAAGAAATGAAGCGGGACTGAGTGGATATCACACTTTTCATGAAAGATACGAATTTTACATATAATGTTTGTGTACCTAGAGAAGGATGAAAATAGCGTTGGAAAATCATGTTTATTCCCTATGAACAGTGTAACCTCCTATTTTGCTAGGCACGGTATTACGTAAGCTGTCGGATTGCCCCTTTTTCCTTGGGATCCAAACAACTTCCCCTCTCCATAACATGCCGCAGCTTGAAAATATAACGAGAGCAACCATGATCTGGTGAGTTCGAAGTTTAAAATCTTCTACCCTTTTATTCTAGCTTAGTATCATTCCAGTCAGTCTACTATGATTCTCTTACGACTTCAATCCTTGGATAGGTACCTTGGCAGCCTCCGGGACACGGCAGCTATTCCTAGCACTACCAATCCATGAACCTCAGCGACATGGATTTAATCTACAATGCGATAATACCTCGTTCCGGCATCATACTCCATAATAACTTCCTTTTCCATACTACTAACGTCAATGACAATCTGCTGCCATAGGTTCACTTCGCAGGTCTCGCTCATGGCCCCTGGCGTCACCTGCGCGCACAAATATCGCACACCTTCACCAACGCTTCCTTGAGAGCTCAGCACGTTGATGTTTGCGGGACTAAGAACCACGGCCAACTGAGCACTGCCTTCCGCACCAGCAGTGTCTGGGTTCCCACCATTCGGTGGCGCATTGTAACAGATGACCATGCCTGGGCGCATACGGTCTTGAAAAGGGACAGACATGGCTGCGGGATCGGGGTCCCGGCTCGATGGTCTGACAGTCGTCGTCGGATCGGATTCCGCTTTCTTACTACTGGTACTAACAGCAGCCGGAACAGAAACACGCAGCATCTCAGCATAGCGCAGCGTATTCTTGCTCGGTCCGACATCCGCCAGACTCGGATTGACACAGGCGACGACGACCGTCTTAGTCTTGCTAGTGGTAGGGCCCGAAGGGTCAAACACGTGTTTCAGAACCTTGGTCAGCGCGCTCTGTCGGAACGGTATGTGCGGCCTATTCTGCTTCGGCTTGGGGCCGAGCGCGTCGGCCTGGGCCTTGCCGCGGATGCAGTCCTTGAGGACGGACAGGCTGATGTTGATCTCGCGCGTCTCGCGCATCCGCTCGGCGCCGTGCGTCGCTACGTCGCGGGCCGCCTCGGACCCCGCCAGGTCCACGAGGTACAGGAACCCGTCGCCCGTCCCGTGACCGTTTCCTTGGATGCGAAGACGGCAGATGCTGTGGGAACGCGATGAGGTGTCGTTTTTGAGCGTGGATGCTGTACGTCGAAACGACGTCGCACGCTCAATTAGTTTCTCCGCTGCCTCGCGTTCTCCTTGGATCAGTAGATGTTCTTCAATACCCGTCAGCTGGGTGACGCCAAATGAGTCCTCGAGGATTGAGATGGGCTTGCGAGAGCCCAGCAGGTCGAAAGATGAGTCGCCGGCCAGCTCAACGATGCTCATGTATACTTTGCGGCTACTGGGTCGCCCGCTATCTATAAACGAGTCGACGACGAGCTTCTCGAGCCCGCTGATGGTGGTGGTCTTTCCGGACCCCGTCTGGCCGTAGGCAAACAGGGTTCCGATTCCGCCATCCCATGCGAAGGAGACCAGGTCCCGCACCTGACTGTCGTAGATCTCCTGAGAAGTTGCCTCGGGGCCGAAGAGTCTATCAACCTGATAATTAAAGGACTTAAGAATTGGATTCCCTCTCGGATGGTTGTAGAGATCGTGAATGTCTACTACGTTTGGTTGACCAGCGCGCGGAAAGAGGGCGCACGGGAAGCCGGAGGCAAGGTCCTCGTCTAAGTGAGGTCGAATTCTAGCGCTCACAACCATATCCGGACTAGGCACCTCCGTAGGCTCCCCAGATGACCGTGCCGTGGAAGCGGCTGGTTTAAGGCGCTGGACCAAGTTCTGGTAGAGCTTTGCATTGTCGAGATAGAATTGATCCAGGATAATATGAGACTGTTGTCAAATGTAGAGTAGTGAGATATAACAACCAGTAGCTATCACCAACTTTATATCTTTGGCCAACTTAGAGTCATGTATCAAGTAAGCCCACCACTGAAGATATGTTGTCAAGAAATGTCTTTTCATGAGACGGTAGGGTACAAAGAACATTGCTTACATCCCGTTTGGTTGATGCCTAGAACCTAGGATCATGGCATCACAACGACGGTAAGTAGGGAGGTCTAGGTCCACTTTCCAGATTAGGAAATTTATATTAATTAAAAAACTGTCGTCGGGTAGAATCTGAAGAGGAATAAGTTAAGTCGGCACGCCGCTACGATGAGTGACAAAGAGACTATTACGTGTCTTATCTCCTTCTAGCTAGCTGTTGTCTTACACTGGTGTTACGATTGAAGGGCTACTGAGAAGAATTTAGAGGTAAATAATAAATGTTCGTCCTCACATTGTCCTGTTTAGGAGGTAGACAAAATACCTAATTTCGTAAAACCCATGTAATATCCGTTTACCTTGGCTTATAGTTTTCGTGACAGTTATTACAGCTCAACGCCTAATAGTACTAGTCAATAGTAAACGTCTAGCAGCACCCCTTCTTGTGTCATCAGTAGCATCGTCCGGTTTCACAACACTGTCAACGGGCTCTGGGACACTTACTCCGGTCACAGTATCCGGCTTTTCGACTAAACTCGAGTGACCTGGACGCCTAAAGACTCTGCTGAGGTGAGCCAAGAAAAGATCTCGTACACTAAACCCCATTAGGTATAGCTGCCGGGGTATCGGCAGCCAATCCTCGGGCTTCCACTAAGCCACCGCCACCGTCTAACGTTCTCCGATCCGAAGGAACATTTCCATCTTCCAGTCCGTGAGATCGATGATTCTTAAAGGATAATTGCTACAGCTTGACATGATTCGAAAGTAGACATCTCGTCGAACCTTAATACTTCGTCTTCGATCCCAGAAATGCCATCGGGTTCTCGACAGCTTCATACCAAGACCCGCAATGTGAGCATCACCGTCCCTCTAAAGTACTTGGCCATCTTACTAAATTCTACACTACATCAGGGATGCGGGCAATGTAAAAAGCGACGAGTTAGGGTGTGTCTCATGATATTCGAATATGCACCTGTTCGTAACTAAATCCACATTATCTAGTGCAACCTAGAGGGCCCTGTTTGTTCACACTGCCGGCGACGGAAAGAAGCGTGTGATTACTCGCTCGGCTATCCTACGATTCCACCGCCGTCTGCAAAGACGGGCATCACTATCCCACCAGCTTTACACTGGGAATCTAAGGATAACGCAAAATCATATTTAACGACATTTCGTATTACACCACAACGTGCATTTCCAGATGTCTTACTGTGGTTTATAGAGAAGGCGCGAACAGAATCCACGATACCGAGTACGGAGCTCTCAGTATGGATGCGGGAGCTTAATCATCATATTGGACAGTTCAATTACTTGGAACCCACAGTGAGATCAGTACAGTCGCTATTCCACTGGTTAGACTCAGGACAGGCTCTCTCGAGATACTACGCCTTAGCTCTTCGATACAACATTGAAGCTTCTAATCGCTTCCGCCTATCTGGTCTCAGGGTAACTGAAGTAGGAACAAAACTACCGAAGCCCCCCTGAAACAACCTCGGTGCTAACTTTGAATTCGATAGAATAACTGGTTGGCCATGCTAATATTCGGGATCGGCATTATCATCTTCCATTTTTGCATATCTCTTTCGTCCCCCGACGCCGACTTCAATTTTTTAGATATGTTCTACGTTCTACGAGAGAGCTCAAGACTTGGCCATCAAGTTGGACCGTACTTCCTCCGCAGTCAGCTTGGAGCATTTATTAAGCGTCAATATGCGTTCTATATGCCAGTAGACGAAGATATCTTAAACCCAATACGGCTTTTAGAATCCGTCGAACACCCCCCAAAAACCTCGGATGAGACGAAGACCGTCTACCGTGAAACCATTGCATCGCTGAAGTCCTGGATTATCATGATTGAAGGTTGTCCCCAGACCTGGCGGGACTTCATTTGCTTCCCGGAATTCGTATCGTCAGTAGAGTTTCTCAAATCCCCTTCTATATTTGGATTAGTCCTTGGAAATAGATGTGTCTAGTCTTAGTTATACTAATTAAGAATCACAGGGAAGCATACCTTGAGCTTCTTCAAAGGAGAGACCCGTTTGCATTATTGATATTCGTCTATTGGTGCGCCATCATATACCAAGCTCGACGTTGGTTTACGGGTAGATGGGCTCGTCGTGCTGCCAATTCGGCGATGTCGTACCTAGGAAATGAATGGACCAGTCTACTGGACTGGCCCAAGGGTGTACTAGATTCTCCCGATCCGATTCCCCCGGCCTCGCGAGTCACAATTAAAGATCACTACTCAGAACTGATCCTTTTACCTTTCATCCGCTCTCTGGGGACTTATTAATGAACCTGGTCGGTGTATCTGAAGTTGAATATTACCAGATAAGTAGCCAGTGCATATTATAAAAGTAAAATAGCAAATATCAACTCCTTTTCGCAAAATGGCTAGCAGCGGCGCAGGTAGCTTTGCCGGTTAACTGCCCGTTGATTGTTATTGTTGGTGTGATTAAGTACCTCCTAATCCCCCGCTGTCAGACGATTTCCTAATCTTTCCTCCGACATCAACATACCTACCTCTTCTCCTTTCATTATAAATTAAAAAATATATATTTGTCAAAAACGTTAATCTTCTCTTTAAACAGTTGTATTTAACCTCTGCTAATGAAAGCTTTTTTCGTGGCCAGAGCACCAACTTTAGCGT